TAGGAACTTTAAACTTTTAGCCACTAAGACATTTTGCAGTGATGGAACATCAAGCCAAATGGGGACTGGAGAGGCCTTCAGTTAGTTTGGTTTTGAGCTTTCTTCCTCACATTCCACAACTGACAATGTGGGATAGGACTACTGGTTTTGGTGATCAAAAGAAGGCATGGGCTGCTGAGACAGCCTGCATCATGGAAACATTATCTGTGCCTTTAAGGGGCGTCTCACCAAAAATTCTTCCAAGAACTGAACCCTTCAAAGTTGGCACATTCACACCATGTAGATCCAGAACAGAGGCTCCACAGAAGAGAAATGGGCAGAGGACAGCAGTAAGTGCAAAACCATGTGGAAGAACAGAGTTACCTCTGGCAGGATGCTAAACTGGCTAAGGAGTTAGATTGCCCGGGTTCAAGTTCCAGCTTTGCTGCTGACTAGATAAGTGGCCTTGGCCTCTAGGATTCACATTCTCATCTATAAAATGGAAGACTGAACTAATGTCCAAAGTGCTGATATTCTTCTGTGGCCCCACATATAGCCCTATAGGTGACCTCCTCAGTGTTGCCTCAGAGCCCCAATGAGGTTACCAAATGGGGCTGAGATGCCAGCACCGGGGCCAGGACATCACAGGAATCGCACCTGGAGAAGAAAATTAACAGGCTTGAAGAGAGTTCTCATTCTCGCTCAGTGGGTTTTAGAAGGGAAGTGGCAGAGTCTAGCATGGAATAGAGGCATGATCTTATTTCTAGGAAAGGGTTAAAATTATACCCAGAGGGAAAGATGGCTTTCCAGGTAAGAGATTTTAAAGCTATGGTCTGTATTGATCTTGCGTCTCAGAGACAGTCACAGTACCACGTTTCCTATCAGGCTACAGTCTCAGATTGAAGACCACTAACTGCAGGGGCTGTGGCCAAGATGGCTATTGTCAGGGCTCTATCCCAAGACGTCTGCATAGACTGACAGTAAACAGAAACCTCACCTCCAGGTGAAAAGTATTAAGCTGATGTGATTTGTTTGGCTACAGATTCTCTCTCCAACCTGGCTCCTTAAAAATCACCTGAGAGCTATGGCTTAGGGTTTACCCGAGCATGCCTTTCCGGCTCATGCCCTTCTGGAAGGGTCAGCTGTTACTAGGGTAATCCTAGGACTCCCAGCCTAGCTGCTTCAACCTTTCTCTGATTTGCACTCAGCGTTCTTAAAGTGAGAGTTGGTCAGGGCTTAAAAAAAGATGAGGTATGCCTCTCCTACTTCTCTTGGGTGAATGGGAGGGAGTTCATACATCTCAGTATTTTAACACAATACAGCTTCCAAGATCTCTACCTCTAATCTGTAGACATCCATGACTCTCAATGAAACATCTCACAGAAGTCATTTCTTCCTCCTTCCCACTGTGAGAATGCCCAATGGTCCTAATTTATCCAATGATCCACGGACATCTCACAAAACTACCCTAGACATGTCCTCTTCCCTTTCCTCCTTGTCCCAACCCCCATCAGGAATCCCCCTTTAGGTGGGAGCAATGAGCCTGCAAATATGACACTAATGGTGAATGGTCCACTTAAGGCTTATGGTGAAAACTGTGAGAGCCAGAACTCAACGGGACTCCTTGTTTTCCCAGGACTCTGTTTTCCACCTTTGACAGGGTACACTCTCACCTCTTTTATATCACTCGTTTTAGTGGGAAATATTTTGAGTTTTCCTTCTCTGTTAGGTTTCTGTCTGGCACAGGTTCTAGCTTTCACAGGCTTTACTGCATTGCTTATCAGCTCCTAAAGCCCCAATGCCCCCAGTGCACATTCGAACAGTTCCATAGTCCCTAGCAATAGACATAGCAGGAAGACATTTTCCCCAAATGCTGAATCAGATATACATTTACAGTGGCTGAGCTATTAGCATTCAAGTTTGACCAGTTTCAAAATGCTACTACCAGATAATAAGACAATATTTAGACATTGCAGTCTATGTTACATAAGGAAGACTTCATAAGTTGGCATGGGAGAGTCCAGGGTTTCAGGTTCTATATGATGCATCCAGAAAGCTGTTTGAGTATATGAACAGCCATACTCCTTTTAGTCATAAGCTTCACTAGCTAGAACTAAAACCTCTAAGAAGCTGCATTCTTTTTTTTTCAGGGCCCCTTCCACTGTTTCTTATGCTTATGCCAAGAATTACGCCTCTTTATAACTCTCTCAAAGGAAGGGTAATAGGAAACTTATAAAACCAGTAGTGGTAGGTCTTACGCTACCACCTCTCACATAATGCAGTCTCATTTAATCAACATATTTCAATCTTACTGCAGTTACTACAGAATCCATTCTGACTGAAAGTAATCCCCATGTATCAGAGCTGAACTGTGCTCCATAGGGATTTCAATGGCTGATTTTTGAAAGTAGATGACCAGGCTTTTCTTTGTAGGCACCACTGGGGGTTCTTAAGCCTCCAACCTTTGGATGGGCAGTTGAGCACATTAACCATTTACACCACCCAAGGACTCCCTACCTGAATAATGGAACAATAGAGGCATGGGGACCACATGATTTGTACAAGGTCAATGAGTTATTTAGAGGGAGAGCCAAAACTCGTATCTGGCTAACTCTGTACCCCATGTCTTTCTAATCTGGGCAACATAACAAGGGTGGTTCAGCCATCTCATTAAGGGTCTCTGGACCCATGGCCAGACAGTAGGAGGGAGGGGCCCTGGAAGGAGGCTGTGATCCAGCTGTGATCAGATTTCTCTGCTCCTAGACGGGGGTAGGTTCTAGGCCATGCTGTCACTGACTACAGATATCACTCACAGCTAGAAAACAGACTCCTTTGGGCAAAGGAGTCTGGAAGCACTCTCTAGTGGCTCTGTTCCGATGAGGCCTGGCTAGCATCATTTTACTTAAAGAGGGGGACTGGGCTTGCACTAAACAGTGCTAGTGAGTGAATGAAGCTCCCGGAGGTCACCACTTGGTTCAGATGTTTGGGTAGAAAGTATCTGGCCAAGTCCAGTGAGAGTAGACCCAAACTTCTCCTTCCTCTCAACTCATCCTAAGTGATAAAGCTAAGGTAGCTGTCTTAACCTATATAAAAGTATTATCGTTTTCAGCCATATAAGACATAGTGCTAGGGTTACAGTTCAGTGACAAGGGCCCTATGTTGGAATGCATTTAAACTATGACTCTGAAGATGACATGTCCCATACATGCACCAGTTCTCAATTTTACAACTGTTATTTAGTGAGATTGGTTTTAGTCACAAATATTTTAAAAGCCAAATTCCATTTAAATATGGTGTGAAAAAATGTAGTCATTTGATTTATACACATTTCACATTTACAGCAGAGTAAGTACAAGACGCGACTATGACATAGTATACAAGAGTGTATATATCCAAATGACTGTTGTTGCCTAGGAAGACATGTATTTACTCTGGTGAAGCTAACCCCACTCAGAATATTTCTAAAACTGCCCACTTATTTACTTCCTTAATGTTAGCAAATCTTGGTCCTTTAGGGGTAGATTTATTTTTTGAAGAATGAAACTGAACTAAACAACAACAACAACACCAAACAGCCAAAGATTATTAGGTAATAAGTCTGCTACGCAAACTGGATAGTGAAGCTTGGGACTGCTCCTAGTGGTGAGGAGCAAATGTTAAAAAACCATGTTTGACTATAAAGTTCTGAGGCCTTTTCCCTTGCCTGACTTCAAGGGTAATACCAGAAAAGCAGCTATAAATGTTCTTAGCACATGCAACATTACAGTCCAAGAGCATAGTCTACCAGGAAATAGCTTCAATTATGGTAACACTTGAATGCATATATTTTGGTGTATTTGGTTTAAAAATAGCCTTGCTCATTTATAGCCATACTTAAATAAACAGAAATGGAAAACACCATTTCCACTGAGTTTTCCCACGGGAAGGATCATCACTTCTTAAAGAGTTTAAATAAAAAGCACTTGGTGTAATGTCTACATTAGCCCCCCAAAATGTGCAATGAATAATTTCGAATACCTGAGTCTCTCCAGTTTGAGAAAGTGAGTAAAGACACGTGTCTGGAGCTTGGATCAGATGAGACTGTCAAGAGGGCTGGGGTGTGTTTCCAATGGCTCTACCTACCAATACAAACTCAGACAATAAAACCTCCTAGAGCTAAGTAGTACACAGAACTTCAGTACAGGATGGGGAAGAACAGTTATCTTCTGGTAGCTTTCTGGGAGTCCACTGTAAAGAAAGTTCACAGGGGTTGGAATCTAGTGCACACTTAAGAAATACAGTATGGCCACTAGGTATATTTCCAGCTGAGGCCAAAGGCAGCAAAGGTTCAAGAGCTGCTGGATCTGACATCAGTTGAAGCAGGGTATATAAACTTGGAGTGAGATAAAGCAATTTGTAGAAAGCTCCATTTATAAAGCAGGACATGTGCCAACCATTGGTATTCAAGCTCACTTTCTACAAAATGCTTCAATGAAAGTGGTAATGAGGAAGCTCCCTAAAACACCATATCCTGAGGATCAGAGAAATATGGTCAAGATGGTGATTGATGAGGAGCAGACTGATCTTCTAATAGTGTTTGAGCAGTGAAGTCTCTAAGCATCACACACACCTAGTGAAGAGAGCATGCCTGCAGTCATACTCCACCTCTTCGGCACATGCCTCCACCTTGTGGTTGCTTTAGAGGACAGTACTTCCAGGAGCTTAATGGCCTGTCCTGCTAGAAGCCAGCAGCAGCAACACAGTTAGTGCCAGAAAGTCAGCCACAGTATCCAAGGGCTCGCTGCAGACATTATCTCAAATCCATCAGTTGAGATGTTGTCTTCTGGGAGTGTTTTTATATTGGTCTTTGCTGAAATCATCGTTAAAAAGAATGCCAAGTGCCCAGATGGGATTCCTAGTTTCTGTGCAAATGAAATCACATAAATCCATATTTTATTCACTCAGAACTACTAGGGAAGCAGTAGGATTTGGTTTAAACGCTGCCAAAAAAGAAAAAAAAAAAAAAAGAAAAAAGTAGGAATTCACTTAAGTTTTAATTCAGAAGCAATCCTGTTGTTGATGTTGTAGCCAGGTTCAGGTAGCATGGGGGGAGGGGCTCCCACTGTGCTTGTTGAGGGATCTCGGATCTCTCCCAGTTCAGGCTCACTCTCACTAGAGGTAGACCCATTATTTATGGTGTAGACACTCTCTGCAACTCCCTGACCTGAAGCACAGCCATCTGCTTCTTTCTTCTCCTTGGGACTAGACAGTCCTGGGAGGAGGGCCATCTCCCCAACCTGCCTACTGGGCAGCAAAGACATGGTGTAGTCTGCAATGATCCCACCCACATCTAAGTTGCATGCTTGGTCGAATGCTAGAAAACCAACATTGGCATTTGCCTCACACACCACAAAGGAGCCATCATCCATGATGAGGAGATCAATGCCACAGAAGTCCATGCCCAGGATATTGGACACTTGAATAGCCAACTGCTTGCCTTGTTCCGTCAGCGGGCACATGACACCCACACCACCTGTGGGGAAAGCACAGTGACGTGAGAAAATGCTGACGAGGGTGCAGCAAGACAGACATCTTAATTATCCATAAAGGGTCAGGATGCAGATCCAGACAGCCTATGGGGAAATCACAGTCATTTATTCTCAGGACTCTTAAAAGCAATTTACCTTCTGACCCAGTCATCTTCCCACTAGATATCAACCTGAAAGATATGAACTTATGTACAGAAAAAATGCTTTATCCTCAAATAGGCTGACTGCAGTGTTATTGAAAATATTGAAAAATCATAGCACCTGGTAGACAATAAGTGCTCAACATATATTTGTTAAATGAATAATCTAAATCTGGCAAAAGAGGAAAACAGAACAGAAATCAATAATAATGTTCAGAGAGAGCTTATTCTCTCATGGGGCAATATTTAGAAGGATTGTTGTTGCTAAGTACTGTCGAGCCAATTCTGACTCATAGAAACCCTGTGTAAGATTTCCAAGGAGTGGCTGGTGAGTTTGAACCACCAATCTTGTAGTTAACAGTCCAGTGATTATCCTAAAGAATTCCTCCTTTAGAAGAATTAGACTGTATTATTTATTTTATTTTTTAAGGTTTTTATTGTGAATTATGTGGCGGTTTACATGGGAGAACATTGTTGTTGTTGTTGTGATGTGCCGTGGAGTCAGTTCTGACCCATGTGACCCTACACAGGGTTTCCGAGGCTGTAAATCTTTACGGGAGCAGACCGCCTCATCTTTCTCCCGCGGAACTCCTGGTAGTTTTGAACTGCTGACCTTGCGGCTCGCAGCCCGATTCGTAACCACTACACTACCAGAGCTCCTTGGGAGAACATTAGAAGACTGTATTATTTTGCTAAGTGCTGTCGAGTGGGTTCTACTCATAGTGACCCTGTATAGGGTTTCTGAGGAGCAGCTGGTTGGTGGGTTTGACTCCAGATCTTGTGGTTCACAGTCCAGTGCTAATTCTACAGTGCCACAACAGGAGTAAAAGACTGTATAGCATGACCATCACTATGAAAAGAGATATGTTGTTGTTGTTGTTAAGTGCCGTCGAGTCGGTTCCGACCCATAGTGACCCTGTACAGGGTTTCCGAGGGTGTAAATCTCTACGGGAGTAGAAAGCCTCATCTTTCTCCCATGGAGCGGCTGGTAATTTTGAACCACTGACCTTAAGGTTCGCAGGCCGATTCGTAACCACTACGCTACCAAAGAGATATAGTCAGAAAAAAAATAGGAGAAAGAATGATATCAAAATAGTATTGTTGCTGTTAAGTGTTGTTGAGTTGATTGACAGCGACTCTGTATAGAGTTTCTGAGGACTGGTTAGTGGGTTTGAACTACTGACCTTAAAGTTAGCAGTCAAAAATATTAATAGTGGTTATCTCTAGAGGATGAGATTTATGATAAATATCTTTTTTTGTTTGACTTTTCTGTATTTCCAAATTTTCTGCATTGTAAACATATTCCTCTTATGATGATGAAAAATAAAATTAACTTATTACTTCTTAAGAAGAGGGAGGTAAGAAAGACTTGTGAGACAAACTTCTGTCCCGAGGAGAGAGAAAGACTGTGAGTGCCCCTACTTGCTGAACAGCTATGACCTCAGACAACACCCCTGTTTCTCTTTAACATCCCTGGAAAGACTTCAGACTTGTATTGCTAGGTCCAATAATTAATGTCTTTATCTTAACACTGTCCTTTCTCACCTATCATACTGTGTACGGAAAAGGCTATCAACAGCTCACCATGATAAGCAACATGGATAAATTACAATGCAGTTACTAGTTAAAGAAAGGGTTTGTCAAGTGACTAAAAAAGGCAAAATGGTAATACATAAGGTTCAATACTCGGACTCGTGGGAGAAAGATGAGACTTTCTGCTCCTGTGAAGATTTAAAGCCTCTGAAACCCTATAGTACAGGGTTGCTACGAGTTGGAACCGACTGCACCAGTACTTAACAACAACAACTGTGTATCTACACATGACTATCATGAAAATGAAATGAGATTCACAGAAGCCAAAAGGAAGAAACAGTGAAAGATCCATCAACATGAATGGATAAACAAAACGGAATCCTATGCATACAACGGTATACTACTTAACTAGAAAGAGAAATGAAGTCCTGATGCATGCCACAACATGGAAGAACCCTGAAAAAATCATGTTAAGTGCAATAAGTCAGTCGCAAAAGGACAGATACTATATGATCTCATTTGAATGATAAAAATATATTGCAGCTGTTGTGAGTTGAATTCGACTCATGGGGACTCAGGTATGTGCGAGCAGAACTGCTCTCATAGAGTTTTCAAACTTGTAACCTTTCAGAAATAGACCACCTGGGCTGTCTCGTGAGACACCTCTGGGTAAGCCTTTTAGCTAGTAGTCGAGTGTTTAACTGTTTGTGCCACCCAGGATTCTTCATGAATTTTCACACCACCATAATCTACCACAGTCTGCTCAAGGTCACTACTCAATGAAAACTAACGAGAGAAGGGCCAAGTCAATGTTAGTCACTGGTTTGTATATCCCTCTGGTCATTTAAAAATATTTCCCATAGGTATTTTATTATTAATAATCTTGCTACCAAAATACAAGGGGGCTTCAAAAAGTTTGTGAAAAAATTCTATTATCTTTCAATTCCTGTTTTCTACAAAGTTTTTGAAGCTCCCTTGTATCAACTCATTTAATGAGGCTGACAACAGTTTTCTGTGATGATGACAAGCATTTGCTCCCGTATATAAAACGGAGTCCTGGTGTGGCGCTGTGGGTTAACACACTGGACTGCAAAGTCGGTGGGATCTCCATGGTCGGCGTTTCAAGCACACCAGCTGATCCTAGGAAACCTTGTACATTGGTATATGGTATGTGGTTGTTGTTGTTGTTAAGTACTGTCGAGTCAGTTCTGATCCATAGCCACCCCATAAGGGTTTCTGAGGAGCAGCTGGTAAGCTTCAACCGGCAACCTTGTGGTTCAAATCAACTTTGCAGTCCAGCGCATTAGCCTACAGCACAACACCAGGACTCCCCTGCCTTGTTTTGTTATTAATGTTAGTTGCCATCAAGTCGGCCCCTGACTCAAGGAGACCCCATGCACAACAGGATCACACTGCTGTGATTCACTGGGTTTTCAATGGCTGGTGTTTTTCAGAAGTAGGTTGCCAGGTCTTTCTTCCTAGTCCATCTTATTCTGGAAGTTGCAGTTCAGGATCAGAGCAACATACTATCCTCCACTGACCAGCAAGTGTTAGCGGTACTTGAGGTGCACTGGCCAGGAACTGAACCCAGCTCTCCTACATGGACAATGAGGTTCTTACCTGAGCTGCTGCTGCAACAGCTTCCAAACTGATCTGCCTGTTGCCACCTTACGCTTTCAATCCATCCTCTACTCAGATGTCAGCTTTTCCTGACACCTCCTTGCTTAATGAAACCCAGCTGCTATATCCTAACACCTATAGAATAGGGTTCAAACCTCAATGTCTTAACACTGTGGGCCCGTCACAGCACTTACGCCATCTGTCCCCCTGCTGGACTGTTGCAACTATAGGACAGGGCTTGTGATCCTAGCAGAAGGTGACCAGCCTAAGGTCTGACAAGATAGTAGGGATCAATACACATTTATTGAATGGACCCACAGCCTAGTAGAAAGTCTCAACGTCGTCCATGACTAACAGAGCAACTCTGAGCTTTGATATACTGACCAAGAGAGCAGTTGCTTTGCATCCGTCCATCTGTGGAGCAGCGAAGCATAGAGCCTATCACTTGGCCCCCTACGACCACCACCCGGATATCTTTTCCATGTGATTCTTTCACATACTTCTGGAACAGGTAGGGCACATCATGGCGGATCAAATGGCAGATGTCTGAAAGGTGATGTTTATCTCTTGCAAGAAAAACAGCTTTTCCTTAAAAAAAAAAAAAAAAGACAAAGACTGAGAATGAGAAAAGTACTTAGAGAAGCCTCTGAACCCTCCCTTGCCATCCCACCTTCCTGTTCATCTAATCCTTTCCAAACCTGCCTGCTTTGACCACATCTATTTCCCACCTTAGACTCTTGCTTCTTATCAAATGACACCACTGAGCCTTATTTTCTCTTGATTTTCCTCATGTCTTAATTATGTTAAACCCCTGCCCCAATCATATTCCATTTTCAAGATGAAATAATAACGTACAGTATTCTAGGACACAGAAAGGGGCCAAAATAAAACACTAAGGATCTAGTCATCTTAGTGGCAAAAACATTGCATTACTATTTCCTAGGACCCAAGGCTGTGAATTAGGCAGGGTCCATTTCTAGTTCTTTTTTGTTGGTTTTTTTTTTTTGGCTTGGCACACAGGACAGGTGTCAATGTTTACAAAATGTAATAAAGTGAACATACTTTAGAGGAACTCTACATCTGGATGGAGAGAGACCCACAAAAGAGAACTGTAACACAGCATGACATGGCTCTACAAGAGGTCTGTGCAAAATACTATGGGAACTCAAGAACCAACAAGATGGTGGATCAGGTAGAAGTGCAGTGAGGAGCTCCGTCAGCAACAACACAAAATTCCAGACCAAGTAAGCTCAGGGGATGGTGCCAGAACTCTGAACCACATATAAAGGAATATTTAGAAGGTTAGAAGGCTTACAGCTAGGAGAATTTGCAGCAGAAGCAAGAAATCCATTGCTTTCTAATTCAAGATGCTCAACTGTTCCCATCTTGGAGCCACCATCTTGGGCGAGACCAAGCAGGGGAAGGATCAGAACAGCCATGGAGGCCTGACAGAACCACGGAGATAAAGGTGTGGCCATTCTTTTTTTTTTTGGATCTGTTCATTGGTCTCTTGCAGTCTGTGCATGCCCACTCTGGTGACTAGAGGGGGTGCCTGAGTGAGTGGACACCCCACCCCCGTCCCCAGAGGGTTCTACTGTGCATGCACACAGATCTCAAAATTTAAAGTGACTGTTTCCACTTAAAACCAAATGGCAGTGCAAAATGGCCAAGCCAGCCCTGAACTGTTTATTGCTAGGAAAAAAGGCCTGAATGGGGATTGTGGAGTGGAACAGACAGACTAAAGAGGAAACAGGCCGAAAATTAAATCCCAAGTTATGTCACAACGACCAACAGTGGCATCTTGAAATTTCTCTGGAAGAAGACTGAAAAGGGAAGCCCATATCCTGATCACATCTACCTTGAGGCAATCAGAGAGCATAAAAAAATACCAGAACACAGACCTATCAAGTATTAAGAACACAGATAACTCCTGAATATTCCCCAAAAAAACCAGAAACAGATGACCATATCAGCACATGTCCATGAATGAGATAAAGTGACTGAGACAAATGAACTGAAGGTAGACCTGCACTCCATACTGGAAGATGGGCAGGCTTTGGAAATACCTGAAAAGGAATTTGGAAAAATTATTACAAAATGCATCAAAACACTATACAATGTAGTTGAGAAAAATAAGGAAGAAGTCAGGAAAGCGCTACAGGAACAATCAAATAAGATAGATACAGCATTGGAAACAATTTCAAAACCTACAGAAAGAAGTCCAAATGATTAATAACAGAATGCCAGAATGAACAATACACTGAAAGGGCAAAGGAATAGAATTGAAGAGATAGAAGCCAGAACTAGTGAGCTACAAGATAAATCTCTCAACACTACTAAGAGAGAAGAGCAAA